GACTATAGGTCTCGCTCAGCTGGGCTTGAAGCAGACAGCGATCGACAAATTCCTCTATCTCAGCACTCTCCGCAAGAACAATGTGCACCTGTTTTACCGCTTGGTCATCGATCATCTCAAGGTAAGATATCGGAGCTACATAAAAGCTCCTGCATTTTCGTGACGATCAGAGAACTAATGGTCGAATAGGAACTGACTCCCCTCATCTATACCCCGGTCGTTGGAGAAGCCTGTCAGAGGTGGTCCGAGATCTACCAACAGCCGGAAGGTTAGTTTCAAAGCCTAGCCCAAGTTCCCCAACCCACATGTTGCCGAGTTAAGACCGAGCTTCTAACTTTCAACTAGGCATGTACCTTAGCTGGGAAGACCGGGGTAACTTGGCTGCAGTCATCGCCAACTGGCCACAGCCCAATGTGGAGATCACATGCATCACCGACGGCTCCCGAATTCTCGGTCTAGGTGACCTTGGCATCAATGGAATGGGCATTCCTATTGGTAAATTGGCACTCTACACTTCGTGTGCTGGTATTCGACCCGAAGCCACCCTGCCCTTGACTCTAGATCTGGGCACAAGCAACAAATCTCTCCGGGAAGACCCGCTTTACATGGGTAGCCGCCACGATAAGATTACTCCCGATCAGGAGCGGGAATTCTTGGACGAGCTGATGGCTGCTCTCACCGAGCGCTGGCCCGGGTAAGTCGTCAATCCAACTTGTCCCGACGATATCGGAAACTAACGGGGTTCTCTCGCAACTTGCAGGATTGTGATTCAGTTTGAGGATTTCAAGAATCCCTTTCCTGCGCTAGAAAGATACCAGGATGTCTACACCTGCTTCAACGATGACATCCAGGGTACGGGTGCTGTTATCCTCGGTGGTGTCATCAATGCCGTGAAGCGCTCTGGTCTTCCCTGTAAGGACCACCGTGCTGTCTTCCTTGGTGCGGGAAGTGCCGGCGTGGGTGTTGCGAAGCAGATCGTCGCTTTCTTCATGCGCGAGGGTATGACCGAGGATGAAGCTCGATCATGCTTCTACCTAGTTGACACTAAGGGGCTTGTGACAGCTGACCGCGGTGATAAGCTGGCCGATCACAAGGTTTACTTCGCCCGGACAGACAACCAAGGTCAACAGTTCAAGACTCTTGAGGACGTTGTCGACCATGTGAAGCCGACTATTCTCATGGGTCTTTCCACCCTGGGTGGTGTGTTCACCCCAGAGATCCTCCGCAAGATGGCGGACTGGAACACTAGCCCCATTGTCTTCCCTCTGTCCAACCCATCATCCAAGTCCGAGTGTGACTATGAGTCTGCCGTGACAAACACCGACGGACGTGTTCTCTTCGCGTCCGGCTCGCCATTCCCCACCATGTCCTTCACCAACGCTGCCGGCGAGCACAAGATGTACTACCCCGGACAGGGTAACAACATGTACGTGTTCCCTGGTATTGGACTCGGTACCATCCTGTCCAAGGCCGTCAAGGTCACCGACAGCATGATCTATGCTTCTGGTGAGGCGCTCTCCAAGGCTCTCACTGCAGAGGAGCTTGAACGGGGTCTCCTCTACCCTGACCTGACCCGCATTCGTCAGGTCAGCGTTGTCGTCGCGCGAAACGTCATCCGTGCCGCTCAAGAAGACAAGGTTGACCGCGAGGCCACCCTCCGCGCAATGGACGATGAAACTCTTGACGCTTGGATCAAGGGTCGCATGTACGACCCCCACTCCGAAGTTCACTCTCTAGAGAGGGAAGTCGGTGCTATCCTGTCTAGCCTGGGAGCCCCTCAACAGCTCGGTCTGAATGGTTCCACAGATGATGCTAAGTTGTAAGAACCGACAACTCTCCCTCTTTCTTCTTCGCTTCCTCTCCCTGTGATTCATGGCTTAACCCTGTGTTGCACACATTCCTCGTTATTCTCGATTCTAATACTGGCTTGTCCAGGTTGGTCCAATTCTGATTTGAAGCGCGTTTTTGTCTCGTTGGTACGCTCCTTGACTTGGAAGGATCCACTTCATTCTTGTATACCCCATCCTTTCGCCGATTGCGGCTATCATTAATGCCATCTTTATATTGTTGCATGCCGATTCTGGATAAGATTGGTTAGCTCATAAAAAAACGGCGGGTTCTGAATAAAATCGGATGATTTATGAATATTGCGCCTTGTTTCTGTATTTCGTAGTTTCTTGGACTGAATATGTCAATATTAGGCCACTCCCTGGTCTTATAGTCTGTATCATCCACCACCCCTCTTGGCCAGAACCACACCTGCCCCCTGCTCCTGGCAGTCTCGTTAGTGGCCAGTGTTCGTATCAGTGTGGCTTGGTGGCTGATGCAAGCACCACGCGAGCAACCAGTAATCAACTGCAGAGGGAGCCGCAATGCACGAGCAGCTTGGGTGGGGAACGAGGCTCCAGGTTGCATCCAGGGCCAGGATTCCCCAGGAACCGGGGTTCCACGGATGATTCGCAGCTCCAGCCCTGCGGCAGGATTTAAGCTTCTACAAGAGACAACCTAGATCTGGATTCTGGGGTCAGGGGCCCCTCGTGGATGGTGGACCTGGTGCCTCTTCGTGGCATCTGCAGGGTTCGGCCCGGACGACTGCGATCCGAGGCCGGATATCCGGATGCTCTGCCACCAAGAAACGGACCCCGGACAAGCGCGCTTCCGGCGTCTGGTGCCTTCTGCAGGATTCGAAACGGCGGGCTCCTCATTATCAATCATTGATTGCGAATCAACGATGTTGGCTCCTGGTCGCTGGTTGTTGTCTCTGGGCTCCACCGGCCACCCTCATGTGGAAGTGGAGGGGCCAGAAAACCTCGGCTGTGTGGCCCCGAGCCGACTGGGGCGGCCTCTTTTTTGATCGTATATCTCGACGGCCTGTCCTCGATGACTTTGCTTGAATCGCCCATTCTATCCCTTTTGTATGCAACATGGCGTCTTTGGGTGACTCCGTGAAGCTCCCGTGTGGGCTGACTTTTTCTAACCGCCTCGTCAAGGTAGAATCCCCGCCAAAAATACTCACTGCTAGTCCTCTGTTCGCGTACTGACATTGCGCAGGCCGCAATGGCCGAAGGCTTGGGCGGGTTCTCAAACATCCCTACTCCGCAGCTCGTCAATGTCTACGGCGAGTGGGCCAAAGGCAACTGGGGCTCTGTCCTGACAGGTTCGCCTCTCTGCGTGACCAACACAGCGGCCGCTTTCTAATTGCGTATACAACTTGCGAAATAGGCAACGTCCAAGTCGACGTAAACCACCTAGGAACACCCTTCGACCCCGCCATGCCAGGCGAGTACACCGACGCCGAGACGAACAAGGATCTCGTCGCGATGTGGAAGAAATACGCCGATACAGCCCAGGAACACGGCACCCCGACGATAGTCCAAGTCTGCCACCCTGGTCGGCAGTCAATGCGCTTCGCAGGCCGCAAGGGGATGTTCGCCTCAACGATCGCACCCAGCCCTATTCCCCTAGATCTGGGTGATAGTTTTACGCAGCGCTGGCTGGGCTGGTTTATGTTTCCGCCGCCGAGAGAGATGACGCAGGCCGATATCGATCTCGTTACCCGGCAGTTTGTCGATACGGCCCGGTTGATGGCCGATGCTGGGTTTTCGGGCATTCAATTGCATGGTGCTCATGGGTATCTGATCGGTATGGCAACCAGCTACCTTGGTGCAAGTTACACAGCTAACGGTTTGCAGACCAATTTCTCAACCCCAAGGTATGCGCTCTATAAATATGGTCTAACAAAAGAAGAACTGAATACTCAGGCAGGATATCAGAGCAACGTCCGGACAGACGCCTACGGCGGCAGCGCAGAAAAGCGCGCCAAATTCGTCCTCGATATCATTCACCAAATCCGCCCTCTCGTCCCCGCCAACTTCTGCATCGGCATCAAGCTCAACTCAGCCGATCACAACTCCTCCAGTTTCGAGGACACAATGACCCAAATAGGTCTCCTAGCCGAAGCAGGCATTGACTTTCTTGAAGTTAGCGGTGGAACTTACGAAGATCCTAAGGTAGGAACTAGATCCCCCCCCCAGAGAAGCTGAACGGACGAACAGCTCGAGAACAACTCAAGAAAACGGAAGACTAACGAAAATTCGGAGAACAGATGATCAAAGGCGACGTGCAAGCCCAAAAGTCCGCGCGCACCGTCGCCCGCGAGGCCTTCTTCCTCGAATTCGCCACGGCCGTGCGCAGCCGGTACCCCTCCGTCGTCCTCATGCTAACAGGCGGGTTCCGCACACGCGCCGGCGCCGAGTACGCTCTGTCCCAGAATGCATGCGATCTCGTCGGCATTGGGCGACCTGCAGCCGTCGACCCTGCTTTCCCGCGGCTGTTCCTAGATGGGAGTCTTAGTGAGGAGGAAGCACAGATGGAGCTGAAGAAGATCAGTCTGCCGTTTTGGGCGAAGTGGATTCCGATTGTTGCTATTACCGCTGGGGCGGAGACGGTGTGTTTCTTTATTTTCTTTTTTCTTTTTGTTTTTGTCTGAGGTTGGCTAACGCGTTGGGTGCAGCAATATTATGTGGAGCAGATCCATCGGATGGCGAAGGGGCTGAAGACTGTTCTTCCGTTGTGAGGTCCTTCCGTTGTGAGGTTGTGGGAGTTATGCAGGGCTGTAGAGTGGTGGTGGATGTACCGAGATAATCTAATACCCTGTTTATAATTGGTAAAGTCATGGCCCATTGTTAGGGATGGGGTGACTACGTCCAATCGACCTAATTCAATACGATAATCTGCACATTAAGTAACGAATCTGGGGGATAATGTGAGCTTGTAGAACATAGACTAGTTTTAAGAATTCCAGGACGATAAAGGCCCATTTCAGGGTTATAAAATGTAGTTGCGGCTACTGGTGCATCAATCTGAAGAGATATATTCCAGAACCAATTCGGTATTGATGAGGTATATATACAGGACAAAACATGAAAATATCCAAGATGTATGGTCGCCAAATTTCTAGAAGAATGCAAAAAATAGAGAAAGAAATGAAAAAAGCAATGTCAACACCCGCCCTTTCCAACGCTCTTTGGACTCAGAAGGAGCTTCAAAACAGGCGGTAGATACATAGTCATACACTCAGGCTCCGAGTCTGCTTTCATCGGAGCCGCTGAAACCGGGGGAAGTGGACCCCCACACTGAACATACTTCAAAGTCCTCTGCGTAAGTACTCGGGACCGAAGCCATTGCGCCTCCTTTTCATGAGCTACATCTGCCCCGCTCCCTAAGAAGACCTGGATAGACCATATGAGCTCTTTGAGATCGTGGGCTGTGCCATCGGAGAGCTGCTTTTGACAGTCAGACTTCTTGTAGAGCCGAGCGAAGGGGATCCAGAAGAAGTCCATGTCCCAGCGTGGCGAGAGAACGACGAGGAAAGGGCTAGGGCGAGCTTCAGATGGTAGAAAGGGATTGCGGAGGTAACTAGCCCTAACCTCTTCAAGCTTTTGTTGTTGGGGAGTAGTCCAGACCTGCCCTTTATAGGGGCACAAGTTTAGCTCGAGCCCCGTGTTTTTGAGGGTTCTCTGAGTGTACAAGATTCCTGCAAAGTCGTCGATCTTCACCCACAGGTATGCGAGTTGGCCTAGGCTCTTTTGCTTCGGGGCATATATATTCACGCGGGTGTTTTTGAACCTGTTGTAAGGGATGCTGTGTAATCCCCCGTGATCTCGGAAGCAATCGCTCTCCTCCATGAAGGACCAGCTGGAGTTTTTTAGACGGCGGAAGGATACTCGGATAAAGGGATCATTGAGGAGTGGGTAAACGTGGATATCGATCGTGTCGTAGAGTCGAGGGTTGATTTCGTTGTAGATGGCCCGGCTTGCACGCATGAGGCCTGGCACGGTGCCGTTAGATACAGCATTCTCGTAGACAAAAAGCCGGAGCTCTGGTGGGAGGCAGGCGAGAGAGCCAAGTTGTGTGGATGTCATTTTGGTCATGATGGTTATGTTGGTGTTGCAGTGTTCAGTCGGATATAAATCAGGTTGATCCTTGATATGCCTCCCTGTAGTGGGAAACGCTGGGATTTCGTTCACCCGGGATGCTTCTGGTTGAAGTATTAGTATTTAAGGGTGATAGAGCGCATCGCGCGGCCTTATTCTGCATCGCACTTTTATAGAATCTGTGATCCCGAGACTCGAGCACGTTTGTTGGTGATAAAGGTTATCCAAAAAAATAGTGAATATTGGTGGCGAGAAAGCGAGAGAAGTAAACCTTAGAAATAGCGATCTGAATAGATAAGTGATGAAGGTTATATGAATCGAAGAGAAGGTGAATATAGATATGGATATACAAATGAGTGGAGAGTCAGACAGAAGTGAAGATACAGAGATCTCAGTAGAAGGATGCAGATGAATAGGCAAGTAATAGAGTGGGAAGACAGAGATGGTCATAGGAGCTCTGACTCAACTAAGGATGCAAACTCCGGAAGTATAAAGTCGTCATGCACTGTGGTGACTTGGTACCCTGAGTTGTCGTACTCAGAAGGCTACTTACTGAACATGGAAAACTTAGATGAGGTTCACATTTTCTTGGACCAACTTCTTCGAAACTTTGGCTATGCATTATGGTCTATGGAACTGCTCTTGCCTTCCGTGTATTCCAGGGGACGATTCAGCCTTCCTCCTCCCCACCACGCTCATCTTCAGACTCCATTTCAACCTCGGCCAGCGCGTTTCTCTGTGACTTCCGCTTGGGCTTAGACCCGTCGTCTTTATTATCCTCAAGCTCCTGAGGCGCGGGCGCAATTTTGGCCGCAGGAACACCGCCTGATGTGACGTAGAGGAACTCCTCCTGGGCATAGTGATCGATGTGGTTGAAGAACGATGCAAAGCTGTTTAACTTTAATTAGTGCCATGCCATCAAGCTTTTTCAGGGGAACAACGTACGCATGGGTCTGCTCTTCTTCTCTGAAGATACGATCGTAAATTTCACGTTGTTTGAACTCATCCATCTCTTTTTCATACTTGCTGAAATCAATAGGATCCTTTTTGAAATCACCTGCCCTCTTGTTATAGACATCGAAGACAGGGCGCTCAAGAAGTAAGCCAAGTCCCGGGGCCTTAGGGATCGCAAGCTTGGATGAACCATAGGATTCCACGATACGCTCGGGGTCGCAGCCGCACCGAACAACCATGGTAGCCATGGCGACCATCTTGCGAATCTGGTGCATCATGAAACTTTGGCCGTGGACCTTCAGACTGAGCCATTCAGTACCGTTGATAATGATAGGTTCGCGGTTGAGATTGAAAGATTTTATATGACGCTTAGCGGAGGGGTCTTTGAATGTCTTTCGGATTGTATAGTTGTAGAAATTCCGCGTTCCAGCGTACTTATCAAGGGCCTGTTGAATCCGATCAAGGCGTGCGGAAGGAATGCGATATGATCGTCTTGCCTTTAGATAAGCGGACTTGACGGTTTTGACAGCCTCGTATATCTGTTTCCTGAATGCAACTTCCTCCTCACTCAAGGGCTCTGCTGGCTTCTCTGCGGACGGCGCTTCGGTAGCCGGAGCGTCTTGCGCTTCCTGTTCAGCCTTTGTCGACTCGGCTTCCTGAACATCCTCTTCGTCCTCGATGTGCAGCGCTTTCTCGACCGGCTTGCGAATGTTCTCAGGGAAGCTTTCAAGGAGTGGCCGAAGGACATTCTTATCAACATCATCCCAGTATGTGGCAACCTCTTCCTGGCGCGCCTTGTATCCCTCCAAGTCGCCTTCTTTCTCGGCATATTCTTTTAGTTTTGCCCCCAGGTAGGTGCCGGGATGTGGGGGCAGGAAGCAGTGTGACGGGATAAGGTATTCGTACACACGCGAATCGCACATCTGGTAGCTGCTGAATGACTTGTTGGCTACTAGGATGTCCCAGACTCGGATTTGAGAACTCAGTTTCTCGTTGATTTTTTGAACGGTATCAGAGTCTTCCACGATCATTTTCAAGGAGACAACATTCCCGGCAGCATGCACACCTTTATCCGTACGTGCGCAGCGGACGAAAGACGATTTTTTAGGGTCAGCTGCGTTGGCTTTGGAAATTGCACCGGCAGCAACGAACGCGGTGAATAGCTCTCCTTCAATAGTCTTCTCAGTAGTACTCCTATGATTGATTAGCATCGAGTAACATAAATTAGGGTGTTATGTATATCGCACAATTGCATTCCCTTGTACCCTGTACCGGAGTACCCAATCAACACAGCAACCTTCTTCTTTGGGCGGCGCTGCTCGCTTTCGATGTCTTCCTGGGAAAACTCGGTAGCGTAGACAGGAGCAACAATCTCCTCTCCATTGTCAAGCTTTCTTCGTTTTATTTGCTCCGCTCGTTCGTTGCGCTCTCTCTTATCTGGCATTGAGCGACTTGCCCGGTTAGCTCAAATCGCACAATTGCGAAAGTCTCTCAGATACATCGACATACCTCCACTCAGATCTACCCATATCCCTTCTCTTAGGCTTGCGATCAGCATCTTGGGATTCCTCACTTCTTCCTGCGTTATTGTCCATGGTGTTTTCGTGCTGTGATTCCAACCGCGACGAGTAAAAGGGAGTGGCGAACGAATGACACTCGAGGTTACTTGGGTATTTAGAAGGTTATTATTTGACCACTGTCGTAAAAAATGCTGTGCGCGCATTGGAATTGATGCCAATGATCGTTGAATCTGCTGCTGCCATCTTTTCCAGTCGGCGTCTTTTTCTCACTCCGATAGGCTAGTCTGTATTGGGACTAGTGTGGGGCGGGCTGCGCCATTCCTTTCCAGGAAAGCTACTTTCTGCCTCAGGCCGCAAGAGCTTTCGAGTTCAATCTTGCCTTTCTTCACCAGACATCATTCACCACCAGTCTTTCCTTTCTTTCACTCGCCCTCACTTTCACCAGTGAAGAAGCTGACGGATGGCTGCGACCTCTCCCATCCGATAACTTCCTTCTCCATTATTTGACGATCTTTTTATCAACTGTGCTTGAACAACGAAGCGATATGCGATAGTCTGAGTGAGATCTAGGAACCGCGACATCAAGATCTCCCGCCTAGGCGGCACCCACCTCTCTTCCACTCACATCCCCTTCGCTTTACTTGTCTGACAGGAGCCATATTTGATCCACCATGGATCTTGCCAACACTTTAATCCGAACGGTGGCCCGCTCCTTCTACGAGACTCGCCACATCCTTGTGATCGATGCGCTTTTCATTCATTCGGTGTATGTGAGACTGCTACGAAGGAGGGGAGAGTTTTATCTGAGGAGAACTCGTACGCTGACTATTTCTGGCGCCCCAGTCTCCATGCGGAGGACCTCGCTTTCCTCCTCGGAATGCAGCAGAAAGACCTGCGGAAACTATGCGCCAAGCTGCGCGAAGACCGTCTGATCGCAGTGTATGGCTTGCCTATGTCTTGAACATTAGGTACCTATTTGGCAGAAGGCTAACAAGAACCGCGTCTTGTCATGCGGACGTAGTAATACACGAGCTGAGATTCGCGATGGATCAACTCGACCCGTCAACCGTGAATATTACTATATCCCGTTGCACCCCGTCGTCGACGCCATCAAGTTCAAAGTCTCCAAGTTGACCTCAACGATTAAATTGCAATATACACCGAGCCAAGAAAGAAAGGAATATATTTGCTTGCGATGCGGGACTGAGTGGACGGAGCTGGATGTCTTGAGTCTTTACTCGGATGAAGGATTCGAGTGCCAGAACTGCGGAGCTATTCTTGAGCGTACGGAAGATGTCAAGGGCAGCGAGGGAATTGACCGCACAGGCCACGAGAAGAACAGCAAGCTTATGGCACAGCTGGATGGAATGCTGAAACTGCTAAAGCAGATCGACTCCGTTGAGATTCCTCCAAATGACTTCGACACCGCTTGGGATCATAAGATTGATGTTATTCGGAACCAGCACACTAACCCTACCCGGGCAGCTATTGTAGTACCTTCTAAGAAGCAGGAAGCCGTCCGCGGCAACCTCAAGACCGACGCAGGTGCCCTCGAGATCTCGCTAACCTCGACTGAAGAGAAATCTGCGGCCGAACAAAAAGAAGAAGCTGCGCGCAAGGCCGCACTGGAGAAACAAAATGCGCTTCCCGTGTGGCATACTCACTCGACCGTTTCTACGGGTGCTGGAAATGCAGGGGCCATCAAGTCTGAGAATGACGTCAAAGTCAAGCCCGAGCTCAAGGAGGAGGAGGACCAGAAACCTAATCTGGTCGACCTCGATGATAAGGTCGCAGCGTACTACGCTGAAATGGAGCGCGAAAAGGCCCTGCAGGCACAAGAAGATGCCAGTAGTGCGGAAGACGACTCAGACGAGTTTGACGAATTCGAAGATGTCGGTGGTGTTTCTGCAAGTGATACTGCTTCCCCAGCTGTTGGCGGTACATCTGCGCCAACTAGTGCTCCTGCTGGCATTAAGCGTGAGCTTGATACCGACTCCGGTACTAGTGCACCTCAAACAACCACAGGGACGCCGTCGACGCCGGCGGATGAAGGACCCGCAGCCAAAAAGATCAAGACCGAGCCCGAGATTAAGAAAGAGGAATCTGATGAAGATGACGAGGAGTTTGAAGACGTTTAATTCTCTCCCACTGGGCGCTGGCGCCCAATAAACAACATCACTTCAGAAAATTGTTTCCGCTGTTCTTGGATTTATCGAGAGCAGGTCGATTGATTATTTATATACTTACGTCCTCTATGATTCTTGATATGTACAATCATGTAAAACAAATAATACAAAATAGAAGCGTTTTTCACCCGCCTTATATTCTATCACTGTAGATCTTGCTAAACTACTAGTACAAATCTGTCGGCAGGAGCGGACCTAAGTAGAGACATGATCTTTCCTAACCCACACAAAACCCACGGCCCATTCCACCTTCCCAGAACGCCCTGGGCATGTCTGAGACCGGAAAGGAAAGCGCAACCGCCATGTGCTCCTTCCCTTGCTTTCATCTCAAGTCGCGCCTTCTCAAATATGTAGCCTCAATGTAGCACCTGCCTACTTTGGTAGTACTTAGTACTGCAGTTATATAAAGATGAATTCTTAACAAAGAAAAAAGATCCATGTACGAAGTGTCTTAAGTCGAAGGAATATATACTCTCTAAACATCCAAAAACCCTCCTCCAAAAACGTCCAACACAGAAACCAACCCACCACCCATACACCCTTCGAGAACCCGAAACAGCTCTTCCGCGCCCTCGCCAATAATTTCGCGCATATCCTCGTCCACAACCTGCTGGAACAATGACCCCTCATCTGTGTTGTGAGTAAATACCGATGACGCCGATGCCAATGTTGCTGATGACCCCGGACGACCCTTCGGCAGGCTCTCAGTAGTACTGGGTTCTTTCTCCCTGCTTGTAAGGGATAGCGAATCGTCCTGCTGGCTGTACCGCCACCTAGACACCGAGTGAATGGACTCGTGGCGTTGAACGAACCCGGTTGCGGCTTTAGCGAATGAGGAGGTGAATTTGTATAGTTTTTCACAGGACTCGCTGGGCGAAACATCCTGAATTTGTTCCAGAGTTGATACGACCTCGTTGAGGAGGGTGATGTCCTCGGCGCTTGAGGATGCGATGGCGTGTAGGGATATTACAATGAAGGGGGTTAGAATGCATGATAGGGGACCCCTGTGTAGTTCCAATGTCAGTTAAGTAACAACTAAACTAAGAATGATGGTGAAGTCAAGTCTAACCAGTCTCTATACCTTTCCGTCTCAGACGAAAGTCCTCCTAGCTCGCAGGCCCTGGAACAATGTAGGTAGAGCTTCAATGTAGTGCGAGCGGCCTTGAAACATTCCGGTCTGATATGCGTTTGGCCTGTTTTCAACGAACTGGGTGCCCGGAGCAGCGTGGTTAATGTTGCCGACCGCTTGGTTTCCAGCATGTCTTCTGCTAGTCTAAATAATCGCTCCGGCCCATCAGATAATGTGAGTGTGTAGTACATCTATGGAACAGTCAGACAAGCATGATCTAAGCACATAACCATGAACTGATGGTGACATATGTGGGAATGACACAACGTACCCGATTATCATAAAAATGATGAGCCTTCTGCACAGTATCATGGATTTTGTTCTCACGCTCGGTTTGGCCTAGCTTGAGTGATTTGCGCGAATAGAGATCGTTACAGATGCGTCTCTGAATCTTCGCAAGTTTGATACCAGCCTCAAACAGCCGATCCCAGCGTTCGACGGGTCGCTTGCGAGAGAATACTGGCAGTGCTACATCGATATCCGCATCCTGGAGAGCTGACGCACGTCCAAAGAATATAGAAACCTCTTTCTCGAGCATGTACACGCTCCAGAAAAGCCGGCGACTGTTCGAAGAGTTGCCGTGGCTTGAGTCATGGTTGTATCCCAGACTCTGGCAGTGGCTGGCGGCTGCGGAGATCAGGGTACAGTTGAGGAATGGACTTCCTTGGTTCTGTGCTTTCATGGCCTATCATATGCAGAAAAAGAGAGAACACTAGTTTTAGTAGATCATATGGTATACTGATTGCTATAAGCACTTACACCAAGAGTCAAAGCAAGCACATTCCCGAAACTAGGCACGCTCAAAACGCGATAGTCCTTTAGCAGAACATCGAATTTCTTCTCAGCTAAAGAAATGGCTTCATTGAAATCAAATTTCTGACATATCGGACTCTGGAGATACCTGAACTCCCTCAGGATAAAATAAAGTGTTCCATAGGTGCAGGCGAGATGCGCAGAGGATACAGGCGTTGATCCAGAGAATGCGGACTGATAGAGGCGCACGACTAGTGAGACATCGTTTAAAGGGTACGAGTAAAGGAAAAGAGGACGGGTTTCTGAGTGGAATTAGTTCCATCTTTGCCCTTCTAGTGGTGGTAGTAGCTGACTCTGGATTTCCTGTATAACGGCGTTTACCAAATCTAGAGGCAATGGTGGAATGTCCCTAGCTTGGGTTATTTCGGCCATGGTTGCAGCCATAAATATTCAATGGGAGAATATGAATCCAGAAAATAGAGTGAGAAATTGGAAGTCTACGGTAGGCATCATATTTTAAATCCCCTAACGCGGCCCCAATCGCCGGGGTCGCCAATCAGGTAAATGCCGATGGTTGCTGCCTTGTTATGATTCCAAGTCCCTCTTTTTACAGATATTTAGTGTTGGTGGAAGGATGAAATGGACTGCTGCGTGAAGGCCAGCTTCACCTCAACCCCAGCCTTATATTGGCTTTATTTATGCATTATCATACACAGATGGCGTTCTCACCCACGAAGTTCGCTTCCCAATGTGTATAACGAAGCCAGTGCAGCAACCAAGAAAAAAGTAAAAGGAAGGAAAGCGAACTCAACATGATAACGCCAGTTTACACTCGTACAAAGCGAGGCGCAAGTCCAAATGAAACCCCATCTCTAATACAGCTGATTGCGGGAAACGCCAATTGATGCAAGCGCAGAATGGGCCGGAGTCTTTGTCTGACCCTTTTTGTCGTTTTCGTAACTTCGTCTCTCATATGTGATACAATCAATCGCGGCATTTCGTAACTTCGTCCTCGCGCTTCATGGCGTTCCTACCATCCCCATCTCTGAGTCACTCGCCATCATCGAATTATCTTCCCATTCCTCTGCAGAAAGAGCATCAGACTCTGACATTTGGGAGTTAGATGATAGAGTGGGCAAAAGGAAAAGGGCAAACCTACCGGAAGCTACTTCTTCGGGGATCTCAACTGCCATATCTTCAATCGCTGTCAAAACCGCTGGGACTGAAGTTAATAAGGGATATCATCAACTATATGTTATTCTTAGTAACATACCTTGTGCCTCGTTGACAACCTTCTGGTCTTCCTCTTCAGTTTCAATAAAGTACGAGGTTAGGCAATGATCAATCACAGTTCGAATAGCTTCAAGCGCCTTTGCATCCACACTGATCCCCGGAATTGAAAGATACGTTTTACGCAGCTTGTCAACACTCGTGGATACCAGCTCCTTGGCGATTCCTGCATGGCGTGACTGCAATTCCGTGCCTACAGCCAAACTTTCTTCGTTGAAGAGGATCCGGCGCAGAAGCTCCATAGTCATGCCTCTTATCGCTCTATCAGGGTACATGAGGAGAGCTGGGGCCCAGTCCGGAACCAATAAAATAACACGGGATGCGAACCAAGTGTCGTCAAGGCCCAGACGCTCATTTCGGCCAGCCAATAAGTTAGTGAAGAATGCAAGGTGCTCTTTGCCTCCACTATCATTGATAGTATCCAGGCCTTTGGCAACGTAGTCCAGGACGGAGACGATTGTTTCTTCGTCGGGACTTCTCCTACACAGTACTAGTGCAGCTTCCAGGAATGGAGCACAGCGTTCGGCAGGTGCAACACGTAGACCGTCTTTTAGCATCTGAATGATCGACTCCATGAGACCGGCTTCTGGTTCAGCATCCATAAAAAGACCGAAGATATTCCTACACGCTGGCGGGCTGTTGTATTGATGAAGTATCTTCTTGAGGAACATTAACTCCCCTTGTGCCCCCAAAGGTCGAATGAGTTCGCCCTCTGCAAGTGTGAAAGTAAATTTCCCGTTTGAGAGTATTTCTCGTTCATCATCTGAAACCGGCCGCACAGTAAAATCGATTCTTGCAAGTAAAATCGACATGAGATCCATGAGTTTTCGGTGCGAAAATTTCCTGCCCTTTTCAAGGAGCTTGGAATAGGCGACGTACTGACGCTTCAACCTCTTCGAATCCTCATAGTCTAGCCATACCATTTCTAGGCATTTTAGGAGAAACCCATGATCGAGAATTATTCCAGTTTCTTGGCGGCCAAAGTTGGCAAGTAAGAACAATAACTCAAAGTAATCGTCCCACATGCGACTAGCAATGTGTAATGTGGGCCACATTCCATCAAGAGTAGCAGCAATGTATTCGAGACCATCGAGGTAGGAAGCATTTAACTTCTCTTTCTCAAGACTTCCGTCCTCCGCATTCTTATAATGCTCACGAAGCTTCGAAAATGTGTGCACGAAGAGCCTGACTCCATGACTGCGGATCTGCGGGTGTGGGCTCTTGAGAAGATGGGGAATGCCGGCCGGCCTTTCCAAAGCCCACTGGAGAACTCTCTGGGCGCCCTTCGGGAATTCGTTGATGCCCCGATATATTTCTCCAACATAGCCGTCGAGCGCTGCCATCTCCTTCGTTCTAGCAAACAGCTGTTCCAAAGTGTCAAGGGCAATGAAAATCATGGACTTGTCCAGCTTGGTCTTGGGTTCGCTGTCTGATAATCTGTTCGCACTGAGCCGTCCAAAAAGATAGCGAACGAAAAGAGAATAATACGGATCCAAGAGACAGTAGGTCCGTACAAACAGCTCATTTTCCATCACGATATGATTGGCAAGTGGGACGGGCAGAGGAACGTGCACAGGGTAGTGGTTTTCGGCGGTATTGTAGGTTGACTTTGCAGACTCCACATTTGAAACGCGTTGGTAGAATAACATGTACGCATTCCAAACTTTGTTGAAGCGGACTTGTTGGCCCATTGAGGTAGATTGATGAGAATCGCTATAGCCACCAAAGCACTGCTCAGCGATTTTTCCTAGATCGAATCTGCTTACATCCGAATCGTTGAATTCCACCCAGGTTCCTCTTTCATTCGCGGATGGCCTTTCACGGATGTACGAATAATAGTGGCCGGACTCAGCCGTGCCGCTATGTACCAGAACACCAACCAGCTCGAAAACGTCCTGCTGGGTCTCCCCAGGCGAGTCCGACAGATAATCGACTGTGAATGGCGTCATATCTATCCGTTCGGGAAATTGAAATTCATCGTTGATCTTGCTGCGTATCATCGAAACCATGTCAAAGTCAAACCGTTTGAGATGGAATATAAGGTTGTCAGGGACATCTTTGAGACAAGCACGCTTCACGGCATCAACGTGACGTCCACACGAGGTGCACGAATATTTGTTATCTCCCTGCATAATCTCGCCCTCGACGTACGCCTGCAGACTCTCCTCGAGGCTCGCCTTTCCTTTGATATCACATTGAATGGCAGAGAATGGCTCAAGTCGCTCTGAGATATGGGAACACTCCTTTGATTTGATTTGTTGAACGAGCTGGCCACCGTAAAACGACCTAAATTTCCTCCTGTCCTCAGGACTCGATATTTGAGCCTCCCAACGGTCAAAAAGAAGATTGTAGAATTCGTCAACATCCATTTGAATAGTGACATCTACGGGTTCGTTATCGTAGGTCCGAATCGAGTCAACGAAGCCTTGAGGATCGACACTCTTCAGCCACGATTCTTGCATATATCCAAACAATTTCTTAGTTTCATCGAGAAGCCTTTGAGATGCAGAGGAATCCGTAATGTTAAGCCCAAGCATGAATTCACGAAACCCAACATTCATGAACAGCTGGCTTAAAAGCGAGTTCAAGTAACACGTGTTGGACAAATTTCTCAAACCGGCATAGCCCTCTGGTGAGCGTATCAATTTTTGCCGCTCAAAACACCAACCGATCTGGTATGTATGGTCTTGCGGGATAATGTCTTCCAATCGCCCTACAAGCTGAGTATAGTTATCACCATACTTTGAGAGTAGGCCAACTATCGCATAGAGCTCTTGTCGTGTTTGTGTATGCATGACAGGAACTTGCGGCATGATAAGTTCGGAAGACGGCATAGAAAGATCCGGGAAAAGGTAGTTATCGAAAAGTTGTTCAGTAAGGTTGAAGGTATCGAGGGTAATATCAGACGATGTTGCAACCTCCAGGCAAGACTTCAACAGCCGAGAAAAACCAAAGATAACGTGATCCACAGGTTCCCTGCCAACAAATTCGTTCGCCTTGTGTTTGAGCATAATGCCGCTCCATTGCTTAAGGTAATCGCTAAATATCAAATCGCGAGGCGACTTCTCCGCAACTGACGAAAACACGGCGTATGCAATTTCGAAAAACTCCTGAGATTGCCCTGGGAATTCCAGAACACGTGGAAATTTGAGAACAAAGGCATCCCATACACTTGCGAGTATATCAATCCGTGTCGGACTCTCCGAGAGCGCCGTTTCTCTTGTCTCCTGTGCCTCTGAAGCCGGGAGCTTGGGTTTCTTAAGCTGCTTTGAAGGGCTACAGATAAGAGATATATTGTCCGCAATCCCTCTTCGAATGGGCTGGCGACCTTCTTCAATCAGGAGGGTAGAGATAAGTTGATCAAACTTGACTTGCTCTTTTGTTGCAGTCCAAAAGCCAGTGTCTCTAATAGACCCTTCCACCAGAACTGCGAAAGTGAAGCAAATTAGTTTGTGAATATTGAATTCTGGAAGCTGCGTTGTAGAGAGCCTTTGCCCAACTTCGATGATATGAAGTAACTGAGTAATGAGGGCAGCGGAGTCTGGGATTAAGGGTGCCTCATCCGATACGGGTGCCTTAACCATCAACGCATAAAGAAGGCATTCAATCAAGCTAGAGGCGAATAGAATGCTATTGGGTGAAGTCGCTAACGTCTCCGATATCTCACGGCGCGTCAAAGCGGAAATAACAACCCGAACACTGTGAGACACGAATTGTTCGCTTGGGGATGCTTCCAGGGCTTCCTGTCGAAGGCACTCAGAAAGGGCATTAACAGAGTAGAGAAAGTTAAATGGCTTGGCCATGGGAAACATGCTTTCATCGGTTTGGTCTATTGACTTAACAAAGTTCATGACTTTTTCCTGGGGCGGGAAAACCACGAGAAATTCGTATATTTCTCGTGCCAGATGGTCATCAAGATTGAGAAGGTCGTAGAGATCATCAAAGTGCTTTAACACCTCAGTATCAATCATAGTCAAAGGCTGGAGTTTCCGTCCGATGGTCTCACGGCAACTCGGATCTCTACGGACGATCAGCAGCCCTGATGCGAGCTTTAGGTCTCGTAGCGGTTGATCGGGCTTCTCAAGTAAGTCTACCCTTTGCCCCGCATATATTGTCATAAGCTTGCTGAATCCTGTAACCTTTACGAGAGCATCAAAAAGCTCCGCAGCC